TTTCTCTTTATCAAGAGAAAAGAACCATTGTTGACAAACGGTTTGAAGTGATAAAGAAAACAATGTATGAAAAAATTTCTTATTTATCCCCTTAAGATTCATTATTGTCTCGAACGCTCTTAAGTGGAAGTAAAGATTATCTGTTGCCTTGAACTTAGGGATGTCACTGGTATTGAACTTTTGCGGAAAACATTCCTTGTTCACTAAGACCCCTTGTGAGCTAATGCTCTGAAATCTATAGTCATTAGATATTTTTCTCAAGATTTCTTGCATGATCTCCATATGTTGTTGCCTTACAGGGTCATTGACTTGAAGAGCTATATTCTTCATCAATTTAGTTAGGCTGGCTACATCCTTCTTGAGTTCATTAACATCTTCCTGAGACGCCATTATCTTCTTAGCCTTTATTTTCTGACTGATTGGTTTGTCAAAAAGTAGCACTTGAACAAAGGTATTGTCCTTGATTAATCACCCTTCCCTCCCTGACCAAGTGTTGTGGAAAGGAAACTGGGAACATTTACAGTTAATTATTTGACTCAAACTCTATTCAACATGCAATAGATTGAAGGAGGTTGGAAAAATGAATATTGTGATATGGAGAAAGCATGTAGAGAATGGAAAGATGATTTAGATGGGGATATATAGAAGAATTAGGAATAGAATGTACCCCCAACTCAAATGACGGAAAGGACGACTCATGCATGAACCTAAGACATGGTCATGGTGACATATTCACAAAGTTTGTGCTAAACTAGTGAGTGTAGGTGACATGTTAAGACTTGTGTCATGACCATGTGACTAGACTCGAATAAAGACTAAGTTAAGACCTCATGTATGTGCACTAAATTGGACAGGTTGTAGTATTTTAGTCATAACTTTTTACCTGTGACTCTAATTGGGACGAAACAAACGCCAAATTAAATATAAAACTCAGGGCTACAGATCTATTGGTTTTATGACTTGAAACTCTTCCTAGAACTCCGGCTATGACCAAAACAAGTTGATGCTTGTGTAGTATACGGGAATAAAAATTCGGGTTGACTCAAAGGAATTATGACTTGATTTTAGATATATTTATTAGTTTAAATTAATTAATTAATAAAGCAAAGTCCTTTAGTCATTAATTAATTTATTTAACTCATTCACAAGTCAAACAAACGGTTAGGGGAAACACATATAAGATATGCTCAAAAAATAATGCACAAGTAGTCATATAGTCACAATATGATGCAATGAGTTTGCAACCTAACCAAGGCTCTAGTTTTCTAAAGTTTAGGATATAGATTACTCAAAGAGGGTCCATGGTTATGATTCCTGATGCACCGCGTGGAATTCAACAATCTTGGATGTACCCTTCATTTCCAGGAGCGTTTAATTGGGTAGATGGAGCATGAATTCCCAGAGGGTTATGTCCATATGTAAAACACATATGGGTTTCAGAAAAAAAGGGAAAAACTCAATCAGGAAGTAAAACCGAGCAAACAGTACTAGAAATCTAGTCGAAACAAGAAGGTAGATTTCTGGCTCGGTAGTTGAAGAATTTGGCGCGAGAAAATAGCGTCGTTGCCAGACGCTGGAACTTTTGCCAGACAAAAAGCTTCTTGCTAGTCGACAGCGCTGTCGTTTAACGCTGACGCTGTTTTCTCAGCGTTAATTCCTACATGCCTCGGCAGCTTTCTATTCTTGAATTTTCCAATTCTTTTTGTAGCATTTTTTCGGTTTTAGTTGTGAAAGATATTTCCTAGATTCCTAGGTGTAAAAATCCTATGTTTTTTACGCATTACGGAAACTAATGAGAACCTTTTTATTCTTATGAGAATAATGTCAATCAAAATTACGCACATAAAATACTTAGTACTTTTCGAGTCTCATCCACTCGTTCTAAATCATTGCCAAAATAAATTTCAGGAATTAAAATAGAAATCCTCCCTAGTGAAGTCGCCAAAAAACTGTAGGGAATATTTCAAACCATCCTACACTTAAGCCCCACTGTGATCATACGCTTAAGCATGGTGGCGTCCAAAGGAAAGGAAGCTAGAGTAAAAGAGTCGCCAACAAGTTTTAAGAACATGTAAACCGATCACAGGATGAAGTTTACACCCCTTAATGATCCAAGAGATCGTTAACTCCAATTGTCTGGAACCATGACTGGAAGTTCGGGGATGAAGGTACAAATCCAACCTAAAAGAGATTGAACCTACCCTAAAAATAGGCCTCTACTTTATTCTTCTCGTATTCGTGTGCGCTTTCTGACTAACATACAATCAATATATTAACCCTAAACTTGTTTAATCTATGTTGGTTGAATATTAATGCACAAACAAAACTATTATTGGTGATCACTTGAATTATAATCAAATTAACCTAAACAAGATTATTAATTATCTTATCAAGCATGATTACAAGTAAAAATTCCCTTTAAACATGCATAAAAGGTGTGACCAAGCAATAACAATAAAAGTATATCAAGAAACATAATAATCATCATAGTAACAATTATAATCCTAATAACAATCATAGTTAAAATAATCACGTTAAAGCATAATATTAATAGCAAGATCCTAGGTATGATACTAACAAGATTAATAACAAACCCTAGCATGTCAATAAACATCAAAGATTAACGCTTTAGCCCTAACATGATACTAACATGATATTAGGAAAGAAATAGGAAGCATCACAATAATCATACTTGATGTTAGGAATATTAATTATTACCCTAAACATGATACTAGGATTCAATAAAACATCCTAACATGATACTAGGAATCAATAAATTAATCTAAGCATGATATCTATATCAAAATATCAATAAAGCAATTAAATTACTTACTTCAATGCCTCGTACCTCTTTCTAATAATAAAATACACATTTTAGTAACTTCAAGGAAAAGTAATAAACAAACAATTAAATTAAATAATTGAAATAGAGATTTGGGACCAAACCCTCATAAATACCAAACCTTTCACGTCTAGGGCGAAAACAATTTCGAACTTGGCTAGGTGTGTCTAGAACTAATGTATGAGTAATTTTGTAAAAGGGAAGGTTTAGAAAAATAATAGAGAGAGAAGGAAAGCTTCTAGCTTTTAGAGAGAGAAAGAGATTATTATTATTGTGAGTGATTGGAGATACGACCCCTATTTATAGGAAAAATAGCATGGGATCGAAGAAAATCTTATTCGGAATAAAATACCTCCTTTCGCAAATGAAAGAAGCTAGTGCCAGACGACAAGTTCGTCGTAAGACGACGAAGGCCAACGCCTGGCAACGACTTTGTCGTCTCGCGCTGATTTAAAAGTCAACGCGCTTTTCCACACGTAATTACCTTCCAAACCGGTTGCAGGTAATTATGCATCCAAGCAGTTTTGGAAATCAGATTTAATATATTTTATTCTAAATAAATATATTTAAATATAATTATCAATCCTATCCTCATTAGAATTAAAAAGAACCTTCTAAATATTCCTAGAAAACTAAAAATAAATCCTAATCACTTTAGGAATAATAATTAATAGGCCCTCCTCTAGATTATTAGGCCACATTAAAAAATCATTGGGATAAATTTAATTTAATCCATAACTTCCTCATAATTCATCGGAATTGGGCTTATAATATATCATTGGAACGCTCTTTTCGAGCCCAATCCAACTACTCTATTTTTGGAATCTTATCATGGACCAAACCAAATTGGACTGGCTATTTTTCATAAACAGGGTAAGAAAAGAAATATTTTTTTAAAACAGAAAAAGAAATATTTTAATAAAAAACATCCTCATCATTAGACTTCCCACACTTTCACTTACATATTCCCTTTAAACATGCAATATGGTCGTGATTTTCAAATTATCTTATTGTTCAAGGAAAGAAATATTCCCTTTCCACACTAACAAGATTATTCAACACTTGATTAATGCAACATTTAATCTTGTTGTTTAATCAAGTGATAATGATATTTTAGAATTATATGCTGCATTAATATTCAACCAATTTAGCTTAATAATAGTTTGAGAAAATTGAATAATATTTTGTTTACATGCCTTTGAGATCGCAAGAATACTTTTCACAATAAGAATCGAGTAGAGGTCAGTACGGGCGAATGTGACTCCATGACTCACTTCTTACCATCAACCCCGATCCTCCTTTCGTGGTTCTAAACCATATGGAGTTAGTAATCTCATGGATTATGAATGGGGTGTAATCTTCACGGGTCAATCGTTGTTGCCTATCGTTGTCCTTATTCGTGGTTGCCTTTTATGATCCGTGAACGGTTTACAAGTTCCTTAAAAACTTATTGGCGGCTCCATATTTTCCTTGTCTCTTATCTTTTATGTCAATTTCTACTTCCTAAGAGTTCCAAGCATATTCACCGCATGCTTAACGTAGGCACACTTCAAACGACGCCTACACCTGCAGAGAGGACAACTTTATGAAGGAGTTCGATCCTAAGTTTTTCCCAAGAAGCTAATGAAAATTTATATGAAGCTTGGGAAAGATTTAAGGATTTGCAGTGAGAATTCCCTCATCATGGGCTAGCACAGTGGCAAATAATCCAAGCTTTCTACAATGGGCTTGGATATAATTCAAGAATGATTTTGGACTCTTCAGCTAACGAGAGATTTATGAATTTGGATGAGAATATATCGAGCAATGTTGTCGAATAGATGGCTATTCATAATTCCCAATATGGGAATCCCAAAGGATTTGCAAATAAGGGAAAACACCAAGTCGATTCTATATCCTTTTTGCAAGCACAATTGACCTCTATTAGCTAGAAAATAGACAATAATAATACTAATTCATCTTCCGTTGCTAATGTTTCTGCTATTGGTACTAACTTTGCAATATTTTGTGAAAATTGTAGTCTTGTAGGTCATTGGGCACAGGACTGTAGGAGCTCACTTGAGAAGATTAATGCTTTTCAGACCTATAAGCAAATTAGTCCATACTCTAACGCCTACAATGTAGGGTTGAAAATAACCAAAATATGTTGTACAATAATATGAATGTGCTTAACCCTCCACCACAGGTACAACAACCACAACAGAGGTACTACCAACCTCCACATCAGAGACCACAACATGTTGTTACTCCTCCATCTGATTCTGGCCTATCAGAAATCAAAGTAATTTTAGCCAATATGCAGAAGCAGATTCAGAGTAGTGATGAGCAAATTGACTCATTGATAGCACATAATAAAATGATATAAACTCAGATTGCGCAAATCTCCTCTACTCTGCAAACTCGCCAACAAGGAGCCCTACTATCACAGCTAGTACAACCAACAGAATACGTAAATACAATTACCCTAAGGAGTGGTTCACACTATGATGGGCCTCCTATGCCCAAAGATGATGAACATGTTACAACAAAAATTTCTAATCTTGATTATGTTAAACCAAACAATGTTATTACTAGCCCTGTAGGGCTATAGGGTAAAACTAACTCTTCTAATAATTCTTTATAGGATAAACCCCAGGATAAGAGTGGAGATATGCAGGGTCTTGCTATCAAACTTCCACTCCCTTATAGATATTTAAAGAGCAAGTTGGATAATCAATTTGGTAAGTTTCTAAAGGTTGTGAATAATTTGCAGGTAACAGTTCCTTTCACAGATTTAATTACTCGAGTTCCTGCATATTCTAAATTTATGAAAGAAAATCTGACTAGAAAAACAGCTATTAGTGAGGTAGAGACAGTAGCTTTTACTGCAGAATGTAGTGCTATATTACTGAATAAATCTCCGCCTAACCTAAAAGATCCGGGTAGTTTTTCTATTCCATGTCATATTGGTAATCTGTTGATTAATAAAGATTTATTTTATTTGGGTGCTAGTGTAAGTGTTATGCCGGTATATGTGAGCTCTAAACTAAATATGGGTAAATTAAAAGCTACCAATATTTCTCTGCAAATGGCCGATCGTTCTGTGAAATACCCTTTAGGTGCTTTAGAGGATGTTCCTGTTAGAGTAGGTAAATTTTATATACCTGTTGATTTTGTTGTTCTTGATATGGAGGAAGATTTGCAAATTTCGATTATTTTGTGTAGACCATTCCTTCATACTACAGGAGAAATAATAGATGTGAAAAGTGGTAAACTTACATTATGCGTAGGGGATGATAATATCACTTTTAATTTAAATAATGTCCCTAAAAGGCCCACGTTAGAGGAAAAGTGTTTTAGTATTGAGGTGGTTGATGTAAATAATTTTTCTAATAAGCCCCAAGCTCTTGTTAGAGATCCCTTGGAGGCGGTATCTTGTGTTGCATCTTCCGCAGGAAATATAATACTTGGAAAGATGAAGTGAATGCTATAGAAAGAGATTTAAATTGTGTAGGGCTCAGGTTTGAAGATGAACAAGTGGAAAAAAAGAAGCAAATTGCAGAAATTGAGCCCGTAGAAAAAGTGACACCCGATCGTGTAACATTTGCTCAATCAAGCACATATACAAAGGTGTACGAGGCCAAAAAAAAATCTCAAGCAGCAAGAAGCAAAGAGCCACCTGATGAAGTCTGGAGACGGGCTCGGTCGATGCCCGGTCGAGTGCGAGATCGCGACAGCAAAACTTGCCAACTTCAAAACGCCATAACTTTTGTGTTTCTAAACGAAATTTTGCGTGTGAACTATCATTGGAAAGCTCTTCAAGTCTAATTTAAAATTAATTTAGAATCACTTAATTATCATTTGTATAAAAAACGTTATGAGCAAAATAGTTAACATGACTCGTTTTTGCCTTATCTCTTATTAACACTTTATTTCTTTTTTGTCCAAAAATGTACCAAGATGATTAATTACAATGTTTGGGATGATGGTGGATACGAGTTTTATGAAGAGGGGTAGTCACTTGGATTACTAACTTCCCTTTAAGCCAATGAGGAATTGTCTGATATAGCTTTTGGGGGGGGGGGGGTTTCTTGTATATATAGGTAATCTTTCTTTCCATTTCCTTTTTATTTTCTTTGGTGTTCCTACTTTAGTTATAATGCTTTCATAGTCTATATTTTATTTATTTATTAGTTTAGATTTATTATTTTCTAGGTTAGATTTATTGCTTTAAAAAAAAATCCAAAAATACGTTCTGAATTATAAATTATGCTTCCCTGTGCCCCTTGATGAAAAAAATTTAAAATTGTATTGATTCTTGGTTATTTATTATAAATATTGTAGATTATTTGATCATGATTTGATGTTTGATTGCCTTGAAATCTTAGCATGAGTCAATTTAGCCCAACTACTTGTAAATACAGTGCTTGACTAGTTGGTTTGGTAAGGAATGTGTGATGATAAATATTGTAGATTAGTTGATCATGATTTGATGTTTGATTGCCTTGAAATCTTACATGAGTCAATTAAGCCCAACTACTTGTGAATATAGTGCTTGACTAGTTGATTTGGTAAGGAATGTGAGTTAGTTCCTGCTATGTCAATGAAGTTGAGTATTGGTTTTTAACTTTGAGTAATGTTTGTATGACCCATTATTATGCACATTGAGGAGGACAAAGGTGTTTATTCTATTAGGTGGCCTTCAGATGATATTAGATACATTTGTTCCTTTCTTGCTACCCATGTTGTTGCCTTGAATTTTTATTGTTTATTTAGTCGCATTACAAGCCTTTTTAAGCCACATTGGTTACTAGTCCCAAGCTCGGCTTGGGGGAGCTAATAGTTAGTGAGGTGAGGGAGTTGTAGTATGCTTATGTATTTGCACAATTTGGGTGAATTTGAGAATTTATTTGTTGTTCTTATTTTGTTGATTGGAAAAAAAAAAAATTAAAAAGGTGTTCAAAGTTGAAAAAAATTCCAATGTGAGATAAAAAAAAAAAAAGCAAAAGAGAAAAAAATTGTTTCAAGTGTTCTATTTGAAGGTTACTCAAAGAAAAAAATTATTAGTTTCAAAGAAAAAAAATCAAGTTCAAGTTTGAAAAAAAAAGAGATCAAAGTTTGTTTGTTCACTCAAATTCTATAATATCATATTTTTATTCGTGAATTTGTCAGTGATAGTGAGTTTGTGAAATATTGATTTGGTTGATTGGTGAATTTTTGTAGAGTAGAATTGAGTTGTGTTGGAGAAGTTTTGGTCATTATTTATTTTTGACCTTAGATTTTATTAGGATTTGGCTCCCTTAAGCATGACTTTACTCTCACATTTTCTCAAATTTATCCTACCCCATACCCTAGCTTTACATTACAAGCTTAAAAGACTTTCCGACCTTTGTGCATAGAGTTGTATGGATGTGAAAGTAGTTGTTTATCAATGCAAAGAATGATTTGACATATTCCGAGTCGACTATTAGGTTCAATGCATTCTCTTTTAAACACACGAGTGCGTGAGTTGGGAGGGCATTGTTCACATATAGAGGGGTGGTTGGAGAGCGATCGAGTACATCTTTTACTCGCTACATAAATGAGAGTTGAGTGTCTGAGCGCTAGTCTTGAACTCTATATGCTCTTGTGGTTCGCTCTATTTGACAATTGTTAGGGAAGATTGGTAATTGGATGAATTTGATTGGTTGACTTTGATACATGTTTATCGGATTTGCCTTGAATTTTATTTATTGATTTTGAATGTATTTGGGGTGAAGTATTGATTTATTTATTCAACGAACCATTGTGTCATACAACAATTAATTATCGAGAACCAACTAAAAGTACAACGCTAAAAGCGGGTTTTAAAAAGACATAAAACATCTAACAAACGCTGAAAGTATTAAGAGAACCATCCTCGCAGCCATCAACGCTGAAAACGGGTTTACAAAAGAAACACAACATCTAAAAACGCTGAAAGTACTACGAGAACCATCCTCGCTGCCAGCAACGCTACAAGCAAGTTTAATTTAAAAAACAAAATACTAAGAGCTCCATCTCCAAAACACAAAAGTCGGTATTCCTGGACATTACCATGGCTATTACTCCAACACACATTCATTAATACCCACATTGTCCAAAGATGAACAAGGTCAGTTGTCGTGCAGCTCAAAATTCAAAAGATTCAGTGTCGCTGTGCATACCACTGTCAGCCATGACTTGGTACCCACCTTTGGTCAGCTATAACAACCCAAAAAAAATATTCAATGTCAACTATATGATCTTCTTATAAACATACATACATACATACATACATACATACATACATATTACGTGTAATGATTAGTTATCTACATACTTGTATCATTGTGTCGTGGTTCTGGGGTGGAATTGGACATGGGAACAGAACAAATGTATACGTTAACATCCAAAACACGAATGAAGAATAAAAAACATATGGGAAGAAATTGAATTACCTGCGTCCTTCTACTTCTAGTATTTTGTGCCTTATAACCTATTTCAGACATGAGTTTGTTTCTGGAACCCTTTGGTCTTTCACGTTTCCTTTTACGTGATATGGTATCAAGCACCGGCTAAGACTGTTGTCGTGGGTTCACATCATCCCAGTCAAGGCATTCACCATTACTACCATTCCCACCTTCACTCCCTTCTAGGGTAACGTTCACATCAGGCTGACTACCAATGCGCGATTTAAACACCGACGTTGGAGCTGCAGTGTGACTCATAGATCCTATTTCGGATACGGGGTATCCGACACTTGGGAGAAGAACACAACCATGCATTTCGTTGTACTTCTTACTGTGTTCCTTCACCTCCTCCATTAGCTTGGACAGAGACGCAAGTAACATGTCCACAATATCTTCATCAACGGCGGAATCTTTGTCACATAGTGGCTCAAAAGCAGTCATAATTCTATTATATCTTCTCACCTTTAGGGTTTGTGACGGGTCATGATAAGCAACCTTGACCCGTGTATGCTTCCTAACTATGTATTTCCTCAACCGGTCTAAAATATATTTTTGTGGTACCTCAAACACCAAATTATGGTCCATAATTCTTATACAGTGCTTGCATAATATGGCATGGGTTTCAAACTTACAGCATTCACATGACACCTCTTTAGTCGTTGTGTTAAACCTAACGTAATAGCAACATCGTCTATCGGTAATAACCTCTTTGCTTAGCCCTTAGGGAACAATACACACCCTATCTTCAAGTACATACTTTTTGGTATGATCATCAACAACCCTTTCACCCATACTATTACAATACACCATCCTAGACAACTCCTTCTAAACTGCTTGGAATTTACCATAGAGTACAGCTTTTGAAATATTTTCTCTACCTTGAAACCACTTATTAGGCGGCGCCGCGGCGAATATACTTCATACATCTGGCATCAGCTTCATTCTCATCTCGAACCTTTTTCTCCATTGCCCTAGGTATACTTTTGTGGAAACTCGTGCACTTTGGTTTTGCGATTGAAAAAACTGTCAAAAGACCTATTTATGCTATCAACCCTTAAGATTGTTTTCATTCTTGCCTAGAAATACTCTTTTATGAATGCAGGTTCCCACATATGCCTCTCCTGAAAAAGATCATCAAGCCATTCATTCTTTTCCAACTTGTAGTGCTTGATAAGTGACAACCAACCTTTCTCAAATTCTTCCACGGTAAAGCTCTCGTATATAATAGCTTTCAATGGCCTCTTAAATTTCTGGTACCTGTCACGTATTGTGCACATACAGTAAATTATAAGTAGTAAGATAGTGTACAAATATCTTTATTTCTACATACTTGCGAAAATATAGGGTTATTTAATCATGTAAAAGATATGAAACTATGGTGACTAATAACTTACAAGGTGCATTTTCCAAGCTTCTCCAAGAACTTCTTCGTAATGTGCCATATACACCATCGATGGCGGGAGTTTGGCATAATTTCAGCTAATGGGTTCCTCATCGCTGCAGCTTGGTCTGTAAGTATGGCCAATTGATGAGTGACATTTATGTCACTCTTAGGGAGTAGTATTAGAGCCATTTTCGTGTTTATTTTATCTTATTTTCCCTTTCTTTCTCTTGTTTTCTCTTTAATAACATTTCTTGTTTATTTGGTAATTTTGTCGTATTTTAGTTCTTTTCGTAGTTTTTATTAGAGTTGGTTTATTTTTGTATTTTATTTGCTTTCGATTTATTTTATTTCGTTCCTTTCCTTTGTTATTTTCATAGTTTTAATTAGTTTTAAGTTTATT